TTTTACACATCTCACACACGGCGTCTGAACCCAAACCAGTCAGAGCCTGTACTATGGTCACGAGACTGCTGATAAACATACTTATATACATATTTCTGAATACATACATATAGTAGATAAATTACACAAAGACACATTAACAAATGATCGTGCTCATCACATAACCACTTGTCCTGGGTGGGAAACGAACCCACGACCTCTGGTGTAGCAGTCAGGGTCGCTAACCACTAGACCAAGAGGCCTGTCATTAGCCCAATTGTGTACTTGGTTATCAAATTATTTGTATTGATTTCTAAAAATAACAGGCGTGATTTGATGTATAATATATAATATGTTTAAACAAAATAAGTAAGTTTAAAAACCTAAATGTAGCAACCCTATACAAATACGCACCAGAGTTATACAGTACTCATAACTCTTTTAAATTAATGGCGCTAATAATGATAGTCCTTTGTAAATAAATTTTGCAGTGTAAAGGGTGAAGTCACCATCGAAAATACGACGCTCTTTGTCCCCCTCACGAACTTAGGGTTATCAACTATATTTTTTTTATCTGCGGTAGTTTAAGATGTTCGTTTATTAATGATGTTACATATAAGTGATATGTAACTTGTAAAATGACATCGGACGTCGAAAACTTTTAATCAACTATGTTGTGCGTGTTAATAATTTGTGAAGTTGGACGTTTGCTAACTTACGAAATAGTTTAAGATTTAATAATTAAAACTTTTTTTGATTGGTATACAAAGGTATGTATACTAAATGCAGCTGAATTGCATGATGTTGTTTAGTGTAATGTAATACAATCTCCTCTACCTAAATAATCACTTAAATAAGTTGCGTATTATGTCTAAATTTGAGATGCAATTTAACACTTATTAATGAGACGGTCAAGAAGTGTTGAAACCAACCAATCGAGAGTTATGTTGCGTTGTCGACGAGGCCGATCTTGTTCGTGCAAGTGATCTTCCTTGACAGATTGGATTTAGTTATTTAAAATTTACAAAAAAAAAAACTAACGAGACCAACAAATGAGCAGAAGGCCAATTCTCGTAATAAAAGTTTGGCCACAACTCTCGATTTCACAACTATCCCCTTTATGACAGTTGCGAGATCGAGAGTGGATCGGAACTATATTGTGGTCAAACTTTTATTACGAGAATTGGCCTTAAGATATGAAATGTAAATTTAGATATCTTACCTACCATCTTACGGCTAACTCTTGTAATCGGACGCTCATTGATAAAATCAAAGAGCTTGCGCTTCCACACCTTTCTGTTACACACTTCCGTCCCCCCTTTTACAATATCACGCCCACAGATTGCAAAAAAGTGAGAGAAAAGATGTTACACATCAATTACAGATTTTGTTTATAAATATCTATAGAAAACTACTTATATTATCGTTTTAAAGTGATTTCCACTGATTAACAGGTTTCGTCTTTAATTAAATTTCACGCATAATCATGGCTAACGTTCCGTGTTACTATCAATTTAGATGTAGTAATATAAGTATTGACCTCTATTTATTATTAATTATTACTTGTAATTACTATGAAATTGTGTGTTTCGCAAAGTAAATATTTCGTTTCTGAGGGTTTTTTTAAGGTCGTTGTGTGTTGGTAAAATTATTTACAGGAATTCTGGTAGTTCTGTAATATTCTTAGAAGGGTTCAATTCGTTGTTTGCCTATTATTTATAACTATATTTGCATAAAATTACAAGTTTATGTAATTTTCACTTTTAATGTTTTTATGATGGTATTCAAATACGCAATCGTATGTATTTAGGCACCTTGTATAACAAATGCAAATTAATACAGAACGTCAGGAAATCATAAAATTCGCGTAAAACAAGCCAATGCTATATAATTTAAACTTTTGAAATAAATATTTGCAATAAAAATGTGATTAGAAGAGATAAAACATGATAATATTTAACAGGATGTGTTCTTAACCATTTAATTCTTAATTCTACATTAAGTAGTTAATGGAGTTGTATTTCCATTGTTCTATGAATAAATATTTGCCTCTGCTCATGACCTCATTTGCTGGTAAACACCTGATAAGATTTGTTTATTTGTGCATACACTTATACTGCTTTCTATTTATCATGTTAATGAATATGAATTTAGATACACGGTAGGAATTTATTTGGGTTGTTTTAAATAAGCGAAAAAATATGTTAGTTTCGATCAATGTTGATCAAAGTATTACAGGATCGAAGTATACAGTATATGTAGAATTCGGGGATAATAGGATAACAAACCGATATGAAAGATCTGTCTACATAATATGTTTTAATATTAGGCTGGAATATCTTTACAACCTATAAGTGTTTCTTTGTGTGATTTTCTGTGCGTTTTGCTTTACTTAATCCGAATTAAAATCTAGAATCTGTTGGTCTGTTGGTGTAATGTAGTTTACATACAGTATTTTAGGTTACTAATGTCAACTAAAATGCTTAATAGCTGGTTTTTCTTTTCCTATAGTATAGCCGCAAGAAATGGTTGTTCGCTTGCTTTATTTTGACAAGTTGAAGTTACTGGGTTCATTGTTAATCATAAAATAATCAATGCAAAATAGCAGTGCTATCACATATACGTGTAACCATATGGTTAGCTAACTTATTAACTTTAGAAGTCAATAATCACTTTAAAATAGGGCCCATAATATATTAGCTAAATAAAATCATGTCACTCACACCTACATCAGTACAATATATTTTACATGTTAAATTGAATCCAATTAAAATTAAGAAAAAACATGAAAATATTGAAGTTTTGATTTCTCTGCGCCAACCCTATTTATTATGTCAAAGAATTTGCCAGACATCGGTGACAGTTCGTTAGAAATGAGTCGCAGGCGCCGCCAAAGGTTGAACTCACACAAAAAAGAGTTAAATCGCATTGGTGTACCTGCGTACTTCAGCTGTCACCCTTATTCATAAAGAATTACCTAAATATAATTAAATGAAAGTGTTCGCGTATAAAATAATACCCAAATTTTTTTCTTGTTAGATTATTAATGCGTCATTTTTACTTTTCCAATGCACACGATAGACCTAAATAGTAGCTTTTAAAAAGTGCGCCTACATCATGATGAATTTTAATAAACTGTATACGTCACTAAAAATTAACAATATGAGTAATACTAGCTACTAATAACGAGTTGCAATTTCTGCAAAAAATACTAATACGACAAACGCCATTTCATTTGTTTAGCAATTATAATAAGATTATAGTAACGATCGCTCCTAAGTAATTATCAATTGTGACATACCTTCATACATTCCCAAGGTTTCTTTCTGTACGCATTTCCTCATTCAACTATCCCTTTAAGGAAGGAATCAATGTCTTCCTCATCTTACGAGTATATTTAACTCGACAATTTAAACACAGATGTATTTTGCCCACCTTACATCATATTTCATCTCCATCTTGATAAATGTCTTTTACTCAGTAAAGATGCTGTCAGTGAAATTGTGGAATATTTTTAGCTTAATTTGGTGGTGATTTCAGTAATTTTATTTGTAATTTCCTCATACTGGTCAAGGTGAAGTTGAAAGACAAGACGTATTGTCTGTCGAAAGTTGATCTGTCTTTGTAGTTCCGTTTACGTTCGTATGCGTCCGAAATGTATAATGAATTGTTTACCTGTGTCGGTTTATTTTTTTATTGGTGGGTGGGAGCGGATTAATGGCTTGTTTTGATGTCTCTTGACATCGTCGATTTGATTGACATTAAACATTAATAATTTCTTCATTGATATTAATGTGACTTTTTTCTAGTCCTTACTAATTTTTAAAGGTCATTGTTCTGAACGCACTTACCTAAATTAATTAAAAAAAACACATTATACACAAAACATCCAATTAAAATATGTATTTAAATTCGTTTTGTCTCTGATATTTTGGTATCTGAGTTATTTTTTCACAATGGAATTTTGTCGCTTATAGATTTCAATGATTGGTTTGGTATTAGCTAGAGTACTCGCGTAGGAAGGTAACACTAAAACATTACATTACTCTAAAACACTTAGGAGAGGACCAGTTACGTAAATGCAGGTCAAACTGCGCGGAGCATGTAATATATTCTTAACTTTTTAGTTATGGTGAAATAATGAGTTTTGAGGTTAAGGAATTTTGTACCTGTCATTTATATTAAAATCGCTGTGTAGACAAGTTTTAACATGGATTTCTTGCCAGAGCATTACAAACCTACAAAGTTTTTTTGTTTTGTAGTCGTCAAAAAAGAAGATACTATATCAGTATCGTGTGTGCTGTATGTACCTAACGTTATTTTTAAACGAAGTATATATATATTATATAGTAAGTATATATAGTATATATAATTATAGGTATTAAACCACATTTTTATTGGTTTCACTTTGAACTAATATGTAAATGAATTTGGAAGTAGATTTATACCTATTTCTATTTTATCATATCGAATTTCAATGACAATAGAACCGATCTGATGATGGAGCGGAGGTGAATAGTTAATCTCTTCAGTGACTACTGGTAACCCCCCTCCCCTCCTCGAGTTTAGGCTCATAAGATTAGTTGTGACAAGTCCAATAGTTTGAGATAGTAACGATGCATGGTCTCACGAAGCTAGGAGGGGGATAATGAATTTGTTATTTACTTTTTAGTTGAGTCGCCATTAAAGTTTTCCTTTTAGTAAACTGTAAAAAAAATTAGATAAGGAAGTTAATGATGCTAATTCTCTTGTTCGAAAACTCTCTAAACTAAACTCTCTAAAAATCACAAAAAAAATTTGTCCTGTCAAATATTACGTTTTCAGAATAGGAAACGTTGTTTGACAGAACTAAACTTTTTTGTGATTTTTAGTTTAGAGAGTTTTCGAACAACAGAATGAGTACCATTGTCGGATCGCCTAAATTTGTAGTGCTTTTGTTGTTTGACCACCTTTATCAACTATCTTGTCCGTATATTAAATATTATTCTGGTGAAAACGTAGTTAAAAATTGTTTGTTGCAGAATGACGAGCCTCCTGAAATCACATACTGCGTGGTCGGCGGCGAGGGCGGTTTGGCGCTACAAGCCGTCACCCCTACACACCCGATGCCGCCTCAAGATGAACTTGACGCGAAGTTTGCCGAGCTTGTGGTAAGTAAAGAGAAGTTTGTTACGAAAGATTTTTACATTAAAAACAAGAACTGCTACAAGTACTTTAAAATCGGTTCATAACTAAGAAGTCCGTTATGAAGGTTTTAAAATATTTCGTCACAGTAAGCTTGTTAATGTGTTATAGTTCTTAGATTTCAAATTTCTAAGCGACAAAATCTTTTCCCTATCAGGGAAAAGCTTAACACAATACGTAAAGGAGCCCTTGACTAGGTTTCTACGTGAACAATCTTGGTTCAGTCATAATTATTCAAATGGGTCGGTATTTAATATTATATTATTATAGATTTTTTCCTTTAACAAGAAATAAATCTCATTAAGAATATGTATATATTCATGTTTTTGCATTTTGTGTTAGGAACATATCTTAGTTGTTCGAAGAACTGTTTTTTATACATAAGAAGATTAATACGTGTATCGATTTTATTTAAATACCAAAGAATAAATGTATGTTATTTAACAACTTGGTTTTCAAATGTCACATAACTTTAGTAACATAATCTTATTGAGTGATGCAATCGGTATGTGTATTTTTTTAAAAGACAGACAAAACAGTTGCGTTTGTTAATTCCTTACTATGCAAAATTGCGACAGTGACCGTTTACCACCAATTACTCTCTCGGTCAGGTTTAAGAGATAATTTAAAAAGTTATCTAAATGGTTGCCATTGACTGTACATAAAACAACAAGCCATTTCATAACCTCTTTTCATTGTTAAGATGAATCTTAAAAGCAATTTACACTCGAAAAGTTGAAAGGAATTTTAATAACATTAAAATGAATCTCACAACATAATATGTTGAGTTTTCATAATACTGAGCTCTGCGTGTTCCCAACGCGCTGTAATGTCATCATTGTATAAGCTCAGCATTCCTCCGTTACGTAATGCCCCACTGTCACGAGATAGATGTGATTAAAAATACTTACTGTTTATTCATTTCAAAAGAAAATGTTTAACTAATTAATACAGTAACTCACGCAATGAGTGCAATATCAATATCTTTAAGAGCAATATCTTTTTTACACAGTTTAACAACACACATTCCTCAATCGGTTCCGGTCATTTTCTATCGTAAAAATTATTATACATGATTTTTTGCCACTTAATTATTGTAGTATTGAACTTGGTTAAAGGCATTTCTCTTCATACTATGTATAAAGAACGATTACATTCGCAAGGAGAGTCGGCGTCAGGCGGCCGGTCATAAAAAAACGAATACCATTTTGCAATGAAAGAGTGCGTAAATTGAATGTCTAGTGATCAAGGAGAATAGAAGAAAAAAAATCATTGCACCGACAAGGAGTAAGAAGTGGATGATATGAATTATTGTCACTCCTCTACCGAACGGTCGTCATTAGACACCTACAAGACCTGTGCAAATGTGTGTGGTGTACTTTAGTTTAACCGAAAAACAGCTATTATGGTCTGTTTTAATTGATTTTATTTTATTTTTAATTTAATTTTTTATTTTATATATCAGGTACCCGTGACTTCGTTCGCGTGGTTTTTGAAAAGCGCTGCCTTAGTGGGTTCGATTCCCGGACCAGGCAAAGTTTTATAGGGGTTATAGGTAAAATATTATCAAAATCGGTCAAGCCAGACAGACAAAAAAATTAAACTGGTTTTTAGGCAAAGGTATCGTGTAAATAACCGTGTGAGCATGAAAAAAACTGTTGTTTTGACATTACAAACACACACAATTTTATTTATTTGTATAGACTAGCGTTTCCTGCGGCTTGGATTAAAAGTAATGTTTTATTTACATACTTCTTTTGGTCGTATGTAACGTGATCGTTAGAGCTATTTATTTTTGTGATTTAGTATTCTCGACTACGAGGTAAACTACTTACGATTTGGATGGAAGGTACCTACAGAGTTTTCAATTAAGTTTAAAGCCTTAATTAAATATTACTATTTATTTTGCCGGTACCAGCCCCTAATAAGACTATCACAAGAGTTTTACTTATCAATGCGAATAGACTTGCCCGTCGAGTTAAGTAATTTTATCGAATCTTGGATGTAACTGTAATTTTGCTCAGGGCCTCAATAGAGGAGCCGTCTAGTTGATTTGTCTCTTAACCCAACGCTCAATCTTGGGTAGGATTGAACACGATCTTTACAGATCGGAGCGATTGCAAGGTGTTGTTTAGACAGATGAGAGACCACGCCCACGGACACCTGCACCCTCGGACCACTTTCACAATACATCGCCGGTGTCATAGGGTTGTCACCTTAACAAAAGCTATATTTTCACGTGTATTAACACAAAACTGGTATTACACGTAACCAAGATTAACATAATGTCAATTATCGTGTCTGAGAGGACTCTCCAAACTGGACATTGATGACCTATTTGACATGTTGGATAAGCCTTCGACGACGAGGTTTCTTTGGTCGATGAAGTTTGTACATTCTATTCGCACTGATATTAGCGGTGCTATCTATTTAATAATGTAAATGTTGATATTTAGATTTGTTTGTGTTCTAGAATCTAGACTTGTACTATTGCTAAGTCTAGATAGATCAGTATGCTGGAAGAAAAAGAATTTTATTATGCGTGAGCAAGTAAAACCAATACTTGCTTGGGTAAATCATTAAGTGAGAAGATAGCCGATAGATAGATAATTCAACATGGTCACGGAAGGGATTCTTATCTTCATTTATTTAAAACTGCTTCAACACAGACTGGTATGTAGAAATATAGAAAAATAAAAAAAGAGTCTTTGATAGGAAAGGTCATGTTTAACAAAATAAGTTTTGTTACAACGTTGTTAAACTAAAATAACGAAATATGTAGGTACATAAGAAGTCAATAGTCTATATTCTACAAAAAAAGAATAAGCGCAACCTTTGAAACTAGGATGTCATTAATATTACAGTAAATATTAATTTGATAACATCTTTCATCAAATTCTAAATGAGACGGAGATTCCAAACTTAAAAGATCCTTGAAGTTTCAAGTTATAAATGTTAAAGTCGATATTTGTTTAAATATTTATGAACGTTCTAATGCTGGTCTATATCCTTTGTTCAAACGCTCCAAAAACTGGATGTTATATAGATATACTAAGATGTTACTTCCCCAGTTATTTAATTAAGTCAATTAAACCAAGGTTAACCGGAACTAAACAAAATACAGCAATTGTAGAATTGTACAGTGTACAATTTTCACAGATTTAGAATTAGAATCTGATGTGGCATATTATTCGATTGCAAAAATATAACTCATAATATTTTATAAAGTTTAGACAGCCCTATTGGTGCTGATATCAGATAACAAGTATCGAATCAAGCGGTAGGTGCCGTTTAATTTGATATACTGGCGGCGTGCTGCCAGCAAATTGTCGTCCTCCGTGCTGTTGTTTGATCCGTATCTATGATCAAAGGGTTGTATGTGTAGTATGTATTTATGGTCATTATAGTAACTACAGGTAAATCAATTTTGTCGTTTCATCGTTTTCGTAATTATCTGTAATAATTTATTTATTCTACAACAGTTATGTATATACAATTATCCATTACTAGAGACACAAATTATGGGCTTAAAAAACTTATTTCATAACTATTAACAGTTGGATACAGCATGCACGACAATATCATCTCTAAAATAACATAAGATTAAGTAATTAAATAGTTCAGTTACAATGATAGTAATGATTATTAGAATATTTATTAAGATTATTAGATTATTAGATTCACAATTATGTAGTTTATGAATTTAGTATCATATTTGAGTAGGTACTAATATGTATATTACAATAACGGACTGCACGGATGGCGTAGTGGTTTAAGCGGTCGCCACGCCGCTTACTACTACGCTGAGTGTTGTGGGTCCGATTCCCACGTGGAACGACACTTTGTGTGATTCACAAATTGTGGTTCTAAGTTTGGGTGTTCTTTGTGTCCATTTCATGTATGTTTGTAAAGCCCCCAGCGACACAGGATATATTCCTAATGCGGCAGTTGTTTTTTTTAATAAAAAAAATAAGAATAATAACAATTCATATAATCGAATTAACTGAAAAAAAACGGTTTTCAATAAAATGTAAGTTAAAAATTAAAAACTAAAAAAAAAGTATCATGAGACAATACAACTGACCTTATTATGTAAAACCAATAGTTAACGTAGATTTTGTCAACTAATTAAAATATTCTTTATGTTCTAGATCCTGAAGACGTTTAAGCAATTTTTTAACGAACATGTAGGATTGAAAAAACAAACTAACTCACAAAAGCTTGATTCATCTTCAAGGGTTACATAGTATATAATATTGGTAGATAATACAAAATAGTGGTTGTCATTTGCTATTCACAGCATGGACAATCAATTTTGAGGTCAGATCTGTAATTTGCAAATGCCGATATCAGTGAGGACCATAAAATGTACACAATGGAGGTCAAATAAAATTTTCGACTTTAAAAACGATCTTGTATTATTATTTTTACAAAATGTTTATGACAGTCTTATAAATTTAATGACCCCTAAGAATAATGGTTATGAATAAATGTTTATATACATATTTAAATATATCAGACATTCCTGTCGACAAAAGTTGTATTCCTTGAACTATGGAAATAAGTAAGCTTCACTGCATTTTTGTTTTAAAAGGTTGAACGTTACGAAATTTGACCGAGTCTAGGCAAGTTAATCTACGGTTGCCGAAATTCTATGTAAATCAATACATTTTTGTTCCTTTTGGGATTAATGTTTTCTCGAATACTTCACTTTTTAGTTCAGTATTTAATGTTAAATTTTAATGTTAGTGTTTCATAGAAGACTACATATTTTAATAGTTCAATTCTATTACTAATTCCTATATTCTTCGATCGTTCTGCGTGTACTGGTTTGACTTTTGAACATTTTCTTAATTTGCATGAATTTAGCATAGCTACGTAAGTAATATTATAAATTCCGCTATAGTGTCAGGTTTACAAATTTTTGCAAACTGTTTTACACTAGGGCCAATTACAATCACGTCCA